TGCTCATGAGCCCTCAATATGAGTCTGGCATGCCCTCCCCGACCCTCAGCTCATATCTGCCTTGCTCCAGGGTTTGTTGGCTACTATATAGAGCAGTACAACCTCAACCAAAACCCACACAATATATCAACATATAACAGATAATAACATACACAGATAATCAGACAGTATCACAAGTAGTCCTACAGATCTATTAGACTACCACATCAAAACTAGCATGCATATCTATTCCATACTCAGCATATGAATGAATATCAGGTTATCAAACCAATGAGCCGGCCTTGGTGTCTTCAACCCGTAAGTATAGTGAGGAAGACTCACCTCACACTGCTGAATCGCACTGAAAGTCTCTGGCTGTTGGCTCACTAAAATCTCCACACTATCACAACAAAATAATTATCCAATTAATAATTGAATTAAAAAACCTTAGATAATAGTCCATAATTAGGGTAAAAGGCCACTTTACCCTTTCCCTAATTGGGCTAAGATCCATGCCCATATCTTGATCCAAAAGGCCTAAAACTATGTAATCACTCAAGGCCCATATTCAGCCCAATTTTCCAAATTGGGCCCCAAACTCCTACTTGGGCCTTACCCTAGAGTCTACCCCTTCACTTAGCCCAAAAGACCAATATCCAGATGGTCTAAAAAGGGCCCAAGCATCTAAGCCCAAAAGGTGACCAAAACTTGAAGCCCAAACTTGCTAAACCAAACAGAATGAGTATGCGGGACGTACCCAGCTGTACGCTCAGTGTACTCCGCCCTTGACCAAGAAAACGTGTTGCTAACCACCTACGCTCAGCGTATGCGGTGGCCATGCAAACCTTTTAATAAGAGCTTAATTCATTCAATGCAAATGTCCAATTTCCAGATCCAAGTCCAAGAAGGTGTTCTTAACCATAAAATTTCCAAATTTATGGTTATGCATGCATCATTAAAACCCAAAACCAACCTCCTAGTTTCTCTTAACCACTAAAGACCTCTACACTTTGAATGCAAGCACTAAGTGATTCAATAAAGCATTTTTATGACTTAACACAACTCAAATCTTCTAAAAAGGTAGCTCCTTTGGTCTTAGAGTAGCATTTACTCATTAAGTCCAAAAAAGGGAAAACTCATAAAACTCCATATGGCTAGATCTCTAAGAAATACAAGTAAAGTTCATGGCTTTATACCTTCTGGAGCTTCCCAAAGAGATAAAGATCTGAGATCTACAAGCTTGAATCCCACACCAAATCTTCTCAAAGAATCCTTTCTTCTTTCTTCAACACCAAGAACACACACACACATACACACTCAAGCTCAATACACACAAGGGCTAGGGCTTACAAGATCGTCTCAAGGAGGATGGAGGCTGAAATGGTGAGGGAAATGGGGTTATAAGGGGGATTATATAGGGCTCAACCCTAAAAATTAGGGTTTTCAACATCTAATGAGTACGCCCCGCGTACGTTGACGTATGACCCGCGTACTAGGGCATTCCCCAGTATGCTAAGCGTACACACGTACTCATGGCATACTCCTATTCCTTCCAAATTACAGTTTTTCCATTAGGGTTTCTCATGGCTACTTCCTTATATTACAGGGACCAAAATGACATGAATTAAAATTATAAGGATGAATTTAAAAGTACCTGAACATCGGGGTGTTACACTTTTATTTATCTTGTGTTTCTATGTTGTACATCTTATAATTTTGCAGGATATATATGAGGCTTAGTTGGGTGATATTCTTTTACATGATGGTTGTTATGATGGGATTAGGACATGGAGGTGATTGAGTCGGGGATCAACCACCTCTAGTAGGCTTTGGTCACGGACATCACAGAGAGGATGGTAAGTCTTATTATGATATATTTATAGGCTATTTTTATTCATTTATTATAAACTATCATGACTAATATTTTTAATTATATTTTTCAGTTGAGCTACCAAAAAAAGAATATGATTATCTAAAAACATTCAACTGTCAAAATTGATATGAGCAAACAAGGGAAAGCTTATGGATTTGGATTTCGACAGAGAGCTCACATTTTCCCATGTCGGGAGATATGTAAATATGTTTACCCATGAGATTCGACGAAATATGTGGCATAACATCCCTTTTAACATATCTGGATAGGACAATGTTTCCCCACTTTAAGGAACGCCATAGTCGTACATTTGAAGGTAAATTATTTATATGATAATATTTTAAGTTTATTTGTGATTGGTATTTAATTAACTAACTATTTTGTATTTGTAGAGAAAGTTTGATTTAGATATGGTTAACTTGTATCTTCAACGTGCTCAATTGTTGCAAAAGCATTGATGTGTCTCTACCAAGACTTTATAGAGGTTGGAAAAGTAAAGCGCATAGTTATTTTCAGAGTGTCGGAGGGCCTGCAGGTATCCCAAAGGTATTAGCCACCCCTCAGAGGGTATGTATCGTGAAAATTGGGCGCAAGCACTTGAACATTTTCAAACACCCGAGTTTATAAAGCGGTCGACGACAAACAAAGGAGTCTGTGCGCAACAACAAATTGTAAATAGAAGGGGAGTCGTGCTCATATAGTAGTGCTTGTTTCAAAGAAGTAAATTATGGTATATTTATCTGTTTATTTGAAGTATAATTAATTTATTTTTTAATGTTAAATAGGACATCAATAGACTCGAAGCATTTTGTAAAGATAATACTGATCGCCAAGGAGTATGTAGTAGTCATATAGTCGAGCAACTATATGTAAGTGGTTAATTTATATTTTTATATAAGTAATATATATATATATATATATATATATATATATATATATATATATATATATATATATATATATATATAATGATGTTAAGCATTTTTCAAAAATACATAATGCTTTAGTCCAAGAGATCAATCAACAAACTCAAGCTTCTTTTCAAGCAAGCGGTCTAACAACAGAGGACATAAAAAAATTGGTTTGAAAGAATTTTCGGTGCTCTACACGGCCATATCAGAGGCATCGGGCGTAAACCATCTACGATTGTGTTGATGTACGATTAGGAACAACGATTCACACATCCACCGCCACAATCACATGTAACAAGACTATTTAATTTCAAAATCTCTATATAATATATATATATAATATATATATATATATATATATATATATATAGACACACACACACAGAGTTAAGATCAAATAAGAAGGAAATTTTTGGTAGGAAAGTAAGAAGTTTTTTTTCTACATATTTTTTTCGCGAACAAACAAAATGAATCATTAGATGATTCATTTGTAAGATGATTCACAAGAAAAAAATTCTCAAAAAAACATCTCGATGATTCATTTATACAATGATTTTGTTGTTATTCACTAAAATTGTCATAAAAGTGAATTTTTTCTTAATTTACTTAAAAATGAATCATAAAGATGTTTTTTTGGGAATTTTTTCTTGTGAATAATCTTACAAATGAATCATCTAGTGATTTATTTATTTGTTCGTCAAAAAAATATATAGAAAATTTCCTTCTTACCGGATCTAGATTGATATATTGGTATGTTGTAGTTTGGTTATTATTTGATATGTTGGTATTTTGTACTTTGGTAATTGTTAGTTTAGTATAGTACAATGCTAAAATGGAAAAAATAAAAAAAATGTACAATGTTATAATGTATATTCAGTATGTGTCGGATGTATGTTTAGGTGTATTTGGAAAGTACAATGCTATAATGGAAAAAAGAAAAAATAAGTAGGATGCTATAATCATCATGACCTTAATTTGTAAAGTGGAATGCTATAATGATATGTTGGTAATATATTTTATACTTTGCTTATATTTTCATTAGTTTAGCTATAGTACAATGCTATAATGGAGAAAATGAAAAAAAAAAGTACATTGCTATAATGTATATGCAATATGTGTAGGATGTGTCTTTAAGTGTCATGGTACAATGCTATAATCGAAAAAAAATGAAAAAAAAGTATGATGTTATAATGTATATTCAATATGTGTAGGATGTATGTTTAAGTGTATTTGGAAAGTACAATGTTATAATGGAAAGTTGAAAAAAAACTTAGGATGTTATAATCATCATGACCATAATTTTTAAAGTGCAATGCTATAATGATATGTTGGTAATATATTTTGTATTTTGCTTATATTTTCGTAAGTTGTTGGTTTAACTTATATGACTATGTTGTTTTCTTTGTAGTTGGACATGTATCAAACAATGTTAAAAGAGTCGACATGTGGTGGATATGAGATCATCACAGTTAGCAAAACTCCTTCATCGCCGTCGGCAGCAGAGGGCAAATCAGTGATACCATTTATGTGTAACCAAAAAAGATTACCTTGTCATGTTTTGGTGAGTATTTGCAGCGAAATGGCTTCGTCGCTATTGCCGTCACCCCTGTAGGTTTGGTCAAGAACGTGTCCAGCCATGGGATCGATCAACACCATGGATGGCTAGGATTTAGTCCTGACGAAGCAAATCGTTGACCTGGGCATTAGGGACGACACCTTTAGCGCTGCGACAACAAGGGGCTTGATGTCGCTGCTAAAGGGTATGTCGTTAAATACGTTGCCCTGAATACTCCTATTTCTTTGTAGTGTGAAGGCAATTAAGTAACAAAAGTTATTAACTCAGTATTTAATAAGGTCAATCTTCTTTACCGGTTAGCATGCTTGGAGTTTGAACATTGAGCTTGTGTTTATGTTTAAAAAAATGACGTCACAGCCTTTTTATTTTGTAAAATCTGTTCACATTTGACCTAGTTATATACTCTGGCTGGTCGAAAGCAAAATACACAGCTGTCGAGCTCACAAATACAGGCAATTTGTTTGACATTAAAAATTGACGTAGAATAATCAACAGATAAATAAACATGTAATAAAATTAACAATTACTTTTTATATGACTTATTATATAAAAATTGTGTATTTAAAAGGAAATCATAAAATAATCTTAGTTTCCGTATTAAAATAAAAAAGCATAATTGATTAACAATTTCAATGTTTGGTATATGTACCCCAGGGCGGATCTCATCGTCCCAAAGCAAACTCACTACGTTCATATTCGCAAAAACCCAAAAGGCCAAAACATACATATTCAGTCACAAATATCACAAACAAATGTCTTCTTCGGGGATAAAGCGAACAATTCCAACCAGGGAGATCCTGAAAGCCACAGAGGGCTTCGCAAACGAAATTCCGGGAGGACGTGGGGTATATGCAAGGGTCTACTTTGCAAAACTCGGTGAACAGTGGCAAAACCAAACCGCTGCTGTCAAACGCTTTATTCAAGGTGTTCACAAAGTAAAGGAGGAGTTCAATAACGAGCTTGAGGTGGTTTCCAGTCTCCACCATGAAAACATCATCGGCTTCATTGGCTACAATAATCAATACAATTCCATGATTTTAGTTTATGAATACGCTGTCAGTAGAAGCCTTTACGATCATCTGGTAGACCCCATGAAGAGGATTTGGTTAACGTGGGGGATTCGTCTGAATATTTGCATAGATGCAGCAAAGGGTCTCAACTATCTTCATTCAGGTCTTGGGAAGGACAGAAGGGTAATTCACAGATCTGTGAACCCGACACATATATTGCTAGGTGAGTATATGGTAGCCAAAATTTCGGGTTTCAGGTTGTCACTATCAGGCCCCAGAAATAAGCTAGATGATACTCCAGTCGAGACAACTGTTGATCTGGGTGACAAATATTACTTAGATCCTATTTACAGTGAAAGTCGCATCCCTACAACAAAATCAGACGTTTACTCGTTTGGAGTGCTACTTATTGAAATGGTGACTGGTAAGCTTGCTAAAGACACCATCACTGGTTTTGGTCCTCCACAAACACTCATAGATTGGATCCGTAGCAACTATGATGATGGACTAGACAAAATAGTCGATTATCATATTAAAGATCAAATTAAGATCGATTCTTTCCAGGAGTTTAAGGAACTCGCTTATCGATGCATTAGTTTGAACTCAAACGATCGCCCTACCATGCACCAGGTTATGAAAAGGCTTAAGGAAGCACAAAATATCCAAGTAAGTCTTTTTCATTTAAATTTATTGTGATCAATAGCTAAGAGGTCATAAATATTTTGTGATCTATCATCTATGATGTAATGTCAGAAAAAATGTAAAATTCTTAGACATTTCAACTTTTAGAATCGCAACACTAAAGAAACAAATTAAGAACAAGTCTATAACGGTAGGAATTCAGTTCTTTTTTAGGGCATCCACATTGTATTAAACTTATGAGAGTTTAATGAATTGACACATCATCATTTAACTTACTATACAACTCTATATTAATTTTCCTACAATGTCTTCAATAGAGTTCAATGGAATATATATTTAATAATTAAAATGTATCCTTTTTTTCTATTGAACTTCATATTCATTGAATGTCAACATGACATCCCACAATGGTAGAGTTTAATCCATTGAATGTCAATCAAGCAAACCACCTCATTCAACTCTCTCATTAAACTATGTACATTGTGGATGCTCTGAATGCATTTAACATCTGAAATAGTGTGATTTATTTGTTGAACTACTAGATCTATCCTTTTCATATAAGAAAAACGGTGTTTGTAACAAAATAAACTCGGTTGCATCTATTTATACTCGCAGATCCACGGACCAACTTCTACAAAAGTTACTAAGGGTAGCCACAAATATGAACAACTAGAAAGTTGGTTAATTCCACTCAAAGAAATCAAGTTGGCAACCGGAAACTTCAATCCCAATACTCAGATTGGAGAAGGTGGATTTGGGAAAGTCTACAAAGCACAACTATCTGAACGATGGGAAAACTGCACAGTGGCCATCAAATGTCGTGACCCGGAAAGTCACCAAGGTAAAAAGGAGTTTCTTAGCGAGATTAAGTTGATTTCAAGCTTCCACCATCAAAACATCATTCCATTTGTTGGCTACTGTGATGAAGAGGAAGAGATGATCATAGTGTACGAGTATGCTAATAATGGTAGCCTTGATCATCATCTCCATGACCCCATTAAGAGGGGTCTCATAACATGGTCACAACGCCTGAAGATTTGCTTAGGAGCTGCAAATGGACTTGAATACCTCCACTCGGGTCAAGGTGACTTCACAAGAGTAATACACCGAGACATCAAGTGTGGAAACATACTCTTGGATGAAAATATGCATGCAAAAATTTGTGATTTTGGTTTGTCAAAAGAAGGCCCGAGAAATCAGCAACACACGCAAATGTATACCAAAGCTGCGGGTACCAATTTCTACTTGGATCCTCTTTACCAAGAAAGTGGCATCCTCAGAAAAGAGTCTGACGTGTATTCATTTGGTGTTGTGGTGTTTGAAATATTGAGTGGGAGACCCGCATATAAGCCTACCAAGTTCGTTGATGGTAACCCACAATATCTCATAAATCTTGTCAGACGTTACTATAATGATGAACCTGAGAAATTAATTGATCCGGTTATAAAAAAACAAGTTGATAGCCGCTGTTTTAATATGTTCAAAGACCTTGCATATCAATGCATAAGCTTGGAGTCAGAGGAACGCCCTACGATGGAGACAATCATCGACACACTTGAAGATGCAATCAATTTTCAAGTAAGTTCTTTACTTATTGTTATTCATTTTTTGATGGAATTCTGTTTTCAAATCCAATACTGAAAAGCACGAGGATAAGTTGCTCTACTGTTTTTTCGTGATAACTGATACGTTTTCAAAAAAAAGTCTCTACCTTATTACCAGCACCATAAATTATGTAAATGCGTAACTTTGTTTAGGGGACTTTAAAAATAATACACGGTGTTGTAATTTTGAGTTGGGGTTATTTATTTAAAAATAGTGATGGTAGTTTGTTAATTATGTTTTGGCAGGATGAAACTGAAAATGATGTTGAGAAAGCAACTTTCGGCTGCTGTTGTTTGCAATAATGAATCCGGAGTAGAAAAGATACAAGTCTTTTAATTGTTGTTTGGAATATTTCAAAAGCTTATCATCTTAAAAAGCGAGGTGCCTTATAGAGAAACAAGAGAGCGCGAGATTAGGGTTTAAGTTTTTGGACATTGATTGCTATTGTAATGTACTTTTCTTCCTTATTTCTTGTTGATAGTCATTAATACCGCTGCCTTGTAAGTTTATATGCATGTTTGGGCACGGCCCACCGCTAGACCCTAATATAAGTTACAGTAAATGACTAATATAATCCGGTTTTGTAACCGGGGTCGTATGCAGTCAAGTCATTTGCAAAACTCGAATAAAACCCAATTATACAACGGAAGCAATTTATAAATTTATCATATCATATCATCTATATATGTTGCATGACAAGTAATTCCCCAAGATCTTCATATATCTAATGGCTAACAGAAAATAGTTTGGAATTATTTTGTTTTACTAGTGCCCAATGGCATTTCCGGCCAACTCCACCGCCTTCAAGAAACAAAATAAATATTAACCAGAAGGTGTTCCCATTGATTAGTAATTCAGATCGAATCTCAAACCAAGAAACATCATTGTTAAGCTTAATATCCTTCCTTTTGATTCAAAACTTTATAAGTAAACGTCAATGTACAAAATCCCTAAATTAAACATTTAGTTGATCAGCGGATGATAATCCCATTATCATTAAACAAGGATATCAGTAAAGAAAAATTACTCCAGCAGCAAGGTATTCAAGGACAACCGCAAGGTAAATTGAATCACCGGTTGCAAGCATATGATGGAGGAACGAATCGTCATTGGACTTCAAGTTCCTAATTTCATTGTTCAGTTCACTCTTATTAACCTAAAAAAGAGACAAAACTTCATAAATGGTCACTGTGGTATTCAGAAATATGAAGTTTAGTTCCTAAGTTTAAAAAACCTAACAGATGGTCCCTTTGCTTTAAAAACTTTTAACAAACGGTCATTTTTCCTAAGCTTTTGTCCGTTAACTAAATGACATTTTCGTCATTTCACTATCACAGAGACTATTTGTGAAGTTTTGTCTTATTTAGAAAAAATAAAATATAATTATTTAATATAGAAAGGCATATGATCTTTATATATGTTTTTTATCCAACATCAAAAAAAAAAAAAAATGAGTTCATAACCTTTTTGTCCATTTGTGTGTTCAACATCAAAAAAATCAAATATGAGTTCATAACCTTTTTCTCTATTTGTGAGTTCATAACAAAGGGAAGCCTGTTTCATCTTAATATGATTTCACAAGCTTATGAACAAAAAAAATTCAAAATTTAACCTTATTGTCCACCAAGTGCTTGATCTATTGTCTGAATCATATTTTCATGCTATAATCTACTTACTTGATTTCCTTACGTTCTTTTCCCCATTCCATTTCAAGGAGGATTAACAAAGTTGGAGGTTGAAGATGATCATGAACACAAAATGAACAAGGAAAAAATCTATAGAAACACACATCCCCATCTTCAAATCTCACGCACCAGAATGCTTTTCTATGTTCATCTTCTTCAAAATGCACACACATAAAATGATTAATACTTACACATGCAGATCGATGTGAAAAACTCGTTGACCTTTGAACAAAATCCAATCAGGGAATGAAAAAAATCAAAGCTTTTAGAAACCTCTGATCTGATTGTGTGTGTTCATCAGAGACCATCTCCAATCCATCAAGTTTCTTGTCTGCAAATTGTTTCAATTTAAAGCTTTTATCTTCTCAGATGCTTTACCAATTAACACTTGTACCAAAAATCAAGGCGATGATGATATAGTTGTACATTAACTTTTCCAAGAACCAGTTTCCAATGATGGGTTTGGGTGAATATCATAGCAATTTTAACTTTTTTAGTCGAACATTGTTCTTCTGTGCCGATGATTTCATATCATAGCATGTTTTTCTATTTGGGAAATTGAAATCTAATAGGCCTTTCATTCATCCATCTATACGAGAGAGAGAGAGAGAGAGAGAGAGAGAGA